CAGGGCAAGGCTGAGGTTGTTGGTTTGTTAACATAGGGTCTCTGGGGCTGGGTTGTGCGTGTGGGTTTGTTCTTGTGGGTGTCTGGCAGGCACTGTGCTGAGCTATGCATGCCCTCACTGGCCTTTCCCTCCACATTGCTGTGCTGTTCCTCCCTGCAGCAACATCAAGTCTTGCAGATCAAAGGGCCGTGATGAACCACACAGGTGAAGAGCCAAGACCCATTTCCCCTAGGCCAAGACCCACTGAGCAGTTTCAGCCCTGCTCTCCTGCAGCTGCTGCTGTGGGTCACAGGGCTGCTCCCACCAGCTCAGCTGATGCTAGTCCTGAACCTACTCTGATGTGGTCCAGCTCAGCCCACACTGCAGCCAGACCAGGTTCTTGGCATCTCTATTTCTGGCTTACATCTGGCAGAACCACAAGCACTTCAGGACACTGTGCTATGGCTAGGCAGTATTACTAATAGCTTGGCAAGATGCAGGAGATGGAGTTAGGCTGGCACAGCCTCCTGGGATGAGTGTGGAGCTGCTGAGAGCCCCATTTCCCAGGGCCAAGTCAAGAGAACAAGGAGCAGTTCTGTTTCCTGATGGCACCCCTGTAGGATGGAAGCATGGCAGGTATAGGGAGATAGGCTGCTCAGGCTGGTTCAGGGGCAGGCAGGGTGGAAGTTGCTGGAGGCATTGTCCCTATCAGTTTGGCATAAGGTGACCAGCTACTGGTGACCAATGAAGCTTTCTGCTTTGCTGGTGTTGTGCTCACCTGTCTGCATGTCACAGATGGTGCAGGCACGACCAGAGCTGGCTGTCCCTCCTTTCCAGAGGTCGATGGCTTTGTTTTATCAGTGTTCTCAATGTTTTCGTATTCACAGCCCACAGGGCTTCCAGCAGTTACACACTCAGCTGGGTTCAGGCATCTGCTACTCAGTCCCCTGACACCCTGGCTTGTTTGAGGAGAAGCAGGGAGTAGGGAGCTGAAATCACTGCCCACCATTAAGAGATAGGGATGGGATGCGGATGCTGCCTCTGCAGATGTGATAATACCAGCACCCAGGCATGAGAAGCATCAACAGGAGATAACAGGAGGCAGTGAGCAAATGCTACTAGGTGCTGTGCTGACTCTGCTCGTAGAAAATCCATGACACAACAAATATTTGCAGCTCTCTTGCTGCAGACAAGCCCCTCATTGGCCTTGCAGCTGGAGTGACGGGTAGGGAATGGGGGGTCAGACACTTGCCTGCATGGTGAGGACCTTTCCAGTTTACCAGTCCCTGCTGGCAGCTGGACATGGGCTGCTGCAGCTTGCAGCCATGGTACAGGCATTCACCAAGCTCAACAACACACAGCACAGCGTGATGGGAAATGTAGTCTTGCTGCATCACCTTCACTGTGTGCTGTTGGACATAACCCGGCTGCACATGAATCACTGGGGTTGGGACCTTCTCACATGTACTCTGGACTCCTCACACTGACGAGGCCTCCTCAGCAGGTTGGAGCAGATGTTGCTGTGGCCCCCCTCTCCTATTTCCTATGGGGCAGGAGAGGAAGATATTTGTTAGGGACTGCCTATCTCATGAACATGCAGGGCACAAGCAAGTGTGGAGATCTGCTGGGTGATGTCTGGTGGGAGAAGAGCAGAGGTTGCCAGGGGAAAGGATGAGGGCGGATGCTTGGGACCAAAAGGCTGCACCCACATGCTGGGAGGAAGCACCAAAAGGAATCATCAGAGTCAGTCGATGCTCCTTGTTCTGCTCATCTCTGGGTCTGCACAGCCCTTCCAGGCTGGAAAACCCTCCTGCCATGAAGCTTTGTGTTTGCTCTGACACAGCTTCACACACTCCCCACAGTCATCCCGGACCTCCCCCCACACCAGCAGCCATTGATTTTGCTGTGTGTTTGCAGAGAACAAGCCTCAGGTATGGATGGTGTCATGGTTTAAACCCAGCCAGCAACTCAGAACCAAGCAGTCACTTGCTACTCGCCCTTCTTCCCCTGGGCAGAATGGAAAGGAGAATCAAAAGAATGTAAACCCGTGCATTGAGATAAGAACAATTTAATAACTAAAGTACAGTAGAACACTACTGATAATAATACTGCTACTAATAATAAGGCAAATAACAATGAGAGAGATATGAAACTAGCATGGAAAACTGAAAACAACAAAAAAAAATCAAAGTAAGTGCTACTGAGCAGCAACAAATCAGCATTATTCCTAAACTGAAGGCAAAACAGCACCAGCTGCTAAGAAGAAAAATAACTTTGCATGTGAAAACAGGGCAGATGGGCTCTCACACACTGGAAAAGTGAGAGCAGGGGAATGCTATAGGTCTGGGTCTGAGCAAAGGCAAGCTTATTGCTAGCTGATCCCAGACAGAGCTGTGCTGCAAGGACTCAATGCCAGTGTGGAATAGAGGTGGGAGTGCAGCAAGGACCAGTTTTTCTGTGTGGAATCCCCTCTGCATCCCTCACCACCCTGCACCCATATCCCATGGCCTTACAGGTCACCCCCATCCCCTGCACCTCTCCAGCACCAGCCACCCTGGGCTGTTTGAAGGCGCTCACCCATGCTCTGCCTGTGTGATGCACCATCACCAGCAGTCATGGAGAAGATGTCAATCCCTGAGCCTTTTCCCTATGAGAAGGGGGATGGTGCAGAGTCCAGAAGGAGAAAGGGAAGGAGAACAAAGCCTCCTTCTTCTCCCACCTGCAGCTCCACAGAGCCATGGAGACCTTTCTGCTTGTCCTCACTGGAGCTTGAGCAGTTTAATTCAGGGTTTGCTGCAGGCTCAGCCCTGCCTGGCTTCTCTCCAGCTGCTCAAAGTGTACCTGCCTGCACCACAGGAGGGACTGGGGCAAGGAGACCTTTAGCCATGTCTCAGATTGAGCACTGCTGTGCCAGGCAAGAACACAGTGTGGTGGAAATAGCACAGTAGAATTACAGGCACTCAAGGGAGAAGGGACAGTACATCCTGCCATGGCAATTTCCATAGTCAGAGCCATCTCCAGGGCTTTAATTTATCTGTTACAACTTAATTGGATTTCAACCCAGTCACTCCTAAGCAGCAGGAGTCCTAAACAGGCACTGGTCCTGAGCTTCTCTCTGCAAGATGCCTCATGAAGACTCCCCATCTCTGCTGCCGTGCCTCGACCCTCAGTGCTGCTGCTCACATGTACTCAAGGGAAAGGGAGAGTCAACATTCACTCTCCTGCTGCCCCATCTAAGCTGGCTTTGCTCCTCTGAACAGCTCCCAACACCACTGACGAGCTGGTTGCTGGGCTGTGGGCACAGCAGGATGCCCAGATTTTGGGTACTAGGGCTGAACCGAGGCAGGGAAGGCACCCACCCGAGCAGCATCACAGTAGAAGGGCAGAACCTGCTGCCTCCCATCCCCACACACAGTTGCTGGTCTTCTCCCTGTGCCCACCACAGGAGGCCTGTGAAGCTGCTCCTGTCATTCTGTTGTCAGTAGGACAGACACATGAGGCCCAGGAAACTCACGAATGTGGCTTGTTGCACAGTGTGGTTCCCCACAGCTACAGCAGCCTCCCTGTCACACTCCTGGCAGGCAGAGGCACCAGGCTGCAGCAGTACTGGTGAGGAAAGGGGGTAGCTCTGACCCCATGAGATGAGGACTGGCAGAGCCCTGCCCCCTACTCTGCCTCCCTACACATAGAAACTTGCCCTGCACAGACCCACTCCCTTCTGTGGACCTCGAAGAGCAGAATACCATGTATTTTGGGGGGGGGTTGGAAGGAGGCAGGGGGCTATAAAGAAGTCAGAGGCTCTAGTCCACAGGGTTACTCTCCCTCCTGGGACAAGGAAGAAAACCCAGAGCTCATGATCTGTGGTGTTTATCCATGGTGGCACCTGGAGCTGAGCACCGGCCAAAACCATGCCACACCACGAGACACTCCACGTGGTTGCTGGAGTGGTGCTGGGCTCGTGGAGACAGCAGAACCTCATAGGGAAACCATCCCTGGCAGTGTTCAAGGCCAGACTGGATGGGACTTGGGGCAACCTGCTCTAGTGGAAGCTATCCATGGCAGGGGGTGAAACTGGATGAGCTTTAGGGTTCTTTCAAGCCCAAACCATTCTATGGCTCTATGAAAGGGCTGAAACAAAGCAGTCACGGGGTGGCTGTGGGAGCAGGGCAGCACAACACGGTTGTGGCAGCTCCCTCGAGGCGGCTGGGGCAGGGCTGGACCAGCACAGGTGGGAGAATGCCAAAAAGAGCGGCAGAGAAATGTGTGGGACAGAGCAAGGACAGATCCAGCTGCAGGGAGTCTCTGGGCACGAAGGACAGGACAGAACGGCCTTGGAGCCAGGAAAAGGCCTGCGGGGGAGCAGCAAGCAGAAGGAAAATAGGGAGAAGTGTAAAAGCTCAGGATAGGGAGAAACATGAAGGGGTACAACAGGCACCGGGCATTGTCACTGAGAGGCTGTCTTCCCTGCTCCTCCAGAGGACAGACCCCATCCACACAGGGTGGGTGCAGACGGGAAATCAGAACCCCACATCCACAGCATCCCTCCATCCTAGTGATGGCTATGAGGAGGCATCCCAGCCTGTACCAAAGGGACCCATTCTAGCAGGGGCAGCTTGTGGGGGGAAATTGGACCCACTACACTGTGAGGTGGGGCTGCGTAATGGGGAGGTCAGATCATAGAATCACGTAATCATGGAACGGTTTGGGTTGGAAGGGACCTCAAAGCTCATCCAGTTGCAATCCGCTGTCAGGGGCAGGGACACCTTCCACTAGAGCAGGTGTCCAACCTGGCCTTGAACACTGCCAGGGATGGAGCAGCCCCCACGTCCTTGGCATACTCAGGGTTATCGCTGAGGCTCCGCTGGGCGCCGCCGCGAGTCCCAAGGAGTTAAGGGCTGTCCCCGCCCCAGCTCGGCTCCGCCCCGCTTGTGCGAGGCTCGGGGCGGCGGGGGCGCAGCTCCGGGCCGCGGCGGGGGTCGGGGTGCTGCTGCCGCCGGGCCATGAGCGCTGAGCCGGTCGCCCCGCGCCGCCGCCGCCGCGGCTGAGCATCGCCCCGGTGCCGGGGAGGGCGGCGGAGGGAGGGCGGGAAGGGGACAAGAAGGGACGAAGGGAAGGCGGCGGCGGCGCCCCGGCCGCGCCCGGGCGGGGATGTGAATGGCGCTGGAGGTGCTCGGCGGGACCGACATGGAGTGGGAGAAGCTGCCGCGGCGGCCCGGGGAGGGCGAAGGGGAGGCGGCGGGGCCGTGGCTGGGCTGCGGGCGGCTGCGGCCCTCCTCGTACCGGGCGCTGCGCAGCGCCGTCTCCACCCTGGCGCGCATCGACGACTTCTACTGCGAGAAGATCGGCGCCGGCTTCTTCTCCGAGGTCTTCAAGGTGTGCGGGGAGGGAGCGGAGATGGCGGTGTCACCCCGGCGTCCCGACGGGGCTGGGAGTCCCGCCTTCGGGCTCCCGCGCAGGCCCTCGGTGGGGTGCGGGACGGGGGGGTTCAGGACCCCCCCCCCTCCATCCACCGTAGCTGGGCGATGGGGATGCGGGACACGGAGTGCGGGGAGCCCGGTACCTCCGGGGTGTTCGACCTCCGTCCCTCCGTGCAGGGGGAGGGGACGGCAGCGCCGGCTGTGTTTACCTCCCGGGAGGCTGAGCGCTCCGGAGCAGCGGCGGGGAGGGCCGGGGCAGCGGTGGGGTGGCGGGCAGCGCGGTCCCGGGGGCCCCCGTCTAACAGCCCGGCAGGCCTGGACTGTGCCTATGGCAGGGGATGGAGGTGATGTTTGCAGCCGGGCCGGGGTGATTTCCAGCGTTGCTGGACCTGTTCCAGCCTGTGCTGGGCGGGTGGATGTGCAGGATGCTCCACGGGAGCTTGGGGCACCCTGAATGGGGCTGGCCGCGGCTGGGACCCCGTAGCTGTCTTTGTCCTCTGCCGTCTCGGACTGACGGAGTGGGAATGGCTGCATGTGGCTTTTACCCTGGTTAGGGGTGCATGGGTGCTGGTGGGGAGCTTAAGGTCCCAGCAGTTCATGGTGGTGTTACCCTGCCAAGAGCCCAGGAGCTGTGCCGTGCCCCGCTGCCACAGTCGCCTCTCCCCGTCCGGGGGGGGGGCGTGCACTTGTTTTCGTCCTCGGCATCACTTAAGGCACCACAAGCTGCTGGGCAAGGTCTTCTCTTAAGCTGTACTTCTAGTGGCTTCACCGCCCTCAAAGGGCAGCTTTGGGCTGGGCAGGACCCCTGCCACCTCCCACCACAACAGGGCATCCATGTCCCAGCAGGACCCTGGGGTCCCCTCTCTAGCCCTGCTGCCGTTCCTCATTCAGCAGGGAGACTCAAAGATCTGGCTGCTGGGCAGCCATGAGAGAGATGCTCTGCAAGGGGCCATGGCAGGCATGCAGAGGGGTCCCTCGCCTTCGTGCTCTCTCCTTCCCTTGCAGAGCCTTTTTGTTGGCTGGGTTCCTGCTATCGATCTCTGGCTTGGAGCATGTGGCAGCACCTCAGAGCAGAGGGAGGCATTTAATAATGCCAGTGTGGATATGGCTCTTTAATAATGGATGCTCCCATGTCTCGGACAGGCCATGGTCTCTCCTTGCCTTGCTGTTTGTTTTCCCAGGTCCTGCGGGAGCCACAAAACACTCCTTCTCCAACCTGTTGTTCATGTTCTCATGGGGCCACTTCCATGTGGGATTTGGGGGACAGGTGGAGGTTGGGGGGGGGGGGGGGGGAGCTGGATCAGGCAACAGGAGCTGATGATGTGTGTGCTTGCTGAAGAGGAGGCAGGGCCAGGAGGGGGCCAGATGGGGCTTTGTGGTCGTGTGGTGGGTTGAGTCCAAGAGCTCAGCAGGATGGTGGGGCAGGCCCGTGATCTGAGCTGGGGTTTGGCTGCCTGAGCGTGCGAGGAGGATGGAGCTTGGCAGGGCAGCACAGGACCCGGTTTCCTCCCACCGCCCTTGTTCCTGCTGTTGCTTTCCATGGCCGTGGGCACTTGCAGCCCCCTCTTCTTTGTGGCTGCTGCCTCATTCCAGCCTTGGTAGGCACGGGGAGGGGACCTGAACTTCTCTCCCTACGCAGGTAGCTCAGCGCTGGTGTGCACACGAACCACGATGCTAGAGCACTGGTGTCTGTCTTACCAGCATTAAAACCAAAAGGACTCAGTGTGTCAGAGTCCTTGGATTGAGCCAAGTGCTTCTCCAGAAGGGCTGTCCAGGACAAACGGGAGACACCAGTGATGAAATGATGCCCTGGGGGTTGTTCCCAGCTGATTCCCCTCTGTGCTGCAGTGAGTTTCCTTCTGCAGCAGCTGGTTCTCATTGCCTTTCCCTGTGAGATTCCAGAGGTAGCAGGCCCACCCGTTTTCCAGGTGGAAGGAAGCAGTGCAGTGAGCCACCTCTCCATCTCTCATCATCAGTCTGTTGGCCTGAGCAGATTGGCTCAGGTGCGTTTGTGCCAGACATCATCTCTTCCCCAAATCCTTCTCTTTACCGAGCGTGGTCCGCAGCAGATGCAGGGCTGCAAGCAGCATCCTGGCTTCACTCTCTGGGGGGCTGTATTCAGAGGTCTTCACTCATCCAACTCTGCACTTTATGTGCCCCACTCTCGCACAGCCTCTTGAAGATACTGCTTCCCACAGTGCAGACCATTGGGAAAGCACCCCATTTCCATGGTGCTGGGGCCAGGGGGGAGTTGGCAGCTCCCAGAGTGGACAGAACCTGGGAGAAGGCTTCAGCATCACTTCCCACCGACTTCTGAGGTTTTGCATTTACTCCCAGTTTACCATTGCAACTAATGACACAGCTCCCTCTTATCTGCTGCCCTTCATCAGCGGACCTTGCATTGGTTTACAAAGGAGGGTGGAGCGGCATGACACAGATGGAGAAACCAAGGCAGGTGGGGAGGAAGTGGATTTACCAAGGTCAGCCAGCCATGGGAAGGCTGGGAGCAGCCCTGGGACTGCTGTCGGCGCTGGGTGCTGGGCACGTGTTGTGCTTGTGTTAGCTGGCGACCTGCTGGCGCCTCTGCTGCGTTGTCACGGGGTGTGCTCTAGCTTTGGTGGTGAGCACTGGTGATGCTCTGGTGCTGCTGGTGTGCCCGTGGAGCCACTCCTGAGAGCATGGGATGCTCAAGCATTTGTGGGGAGCAGGTGGTGCTGTATGTGCCCTGATGCTTTCACTGCCCTGGGGGAACCTGTCTTGACTGATTCTGCCTTTTCTGTGCAATGAACAGATTTTCCAGTCCCACACGGTAGAAGACCTGTTGCACTGCTGGGATTCTCGTGGCTGTGGGATTACTGGTGGTGTTTCTAGCTCATTTACTTGCCCCCCCCCCCCCCCATCTTTCCCTGCTGGGCTTTCCAGGCCAAGGGCTGCAGGATGATGTCTCTGCATGACTGCTTTGCCAGCGCCAGGGTGGGACAAGGGGATGAATGAGCAGCAAACGGGGTGCAGGGGAGCTGGCTGCTGAGACCCACAGATGGGGAGGTGGCGGTGGTGTTTTCACCCCATGTCTAGACAGTATCACCGGCTGTGGGGAGGGAGCAGGCCGTCTGCTCGCTCTGATTAGCATGCTCTTTAAATAAGACTCTAATTTCCGCTGCTAAAAGAGCTTAGATCCCTTGTGCCCAGGCTGGGGCCCGCAGCCAGCCCTGTCCCATCCCCCAGCCCCACGTGCTGCCAACAGATGGGATGGGGACCGACGCTCCACGGCACCCCAGCTCATGGGTACCCCCATGCAGTACACGATGGAGGGGCTGTGTCGCATCATGAGGGCTTGCATGGTGTCTGGATGGAGGATCAGTGGCTTGTCCTCCCCCGGCGCCCCAGCATGGCTGCCTGGCTGAGCTCAGCTCTCGGGAATGCGCTGGGATTCCTGGGCTCCATGCCAGAGTGTGGAGGGGCGAGGGGGGACCCAGCTGTGCTGCCCAGAGAGGCTTTGCTGCCCACTGCCTTCCCTGGGTGACAGTAGGAAGGAAACCCCTTTGGCTATGGGCTGCATCCTGCATGGGGTCCTGGACTGCTCCCTTTTCTGCCCTACCTCCTTCCAGAGGGTGCTGGGCTGGTGCTAGCGGCTGGCCAAGCTGGGTGAACTGGTCAGCACATGTGGGAGGCTGTGGGCAGCACAAGGGGGCATAACCCCTTCTAGTGGCCTTGAGCATGAAGCATGTGAGGGGAACAGCAGGATAGGACCTTGCAAGCAAACTCGGGGTACTGGATGCCCTCAGGGAGGTTATGCCCCATGGGTGTGGGGCTGGGGCTGTCCTTACAGCCCTCCATGCCCCTGGGGATGGAGTCGCAGAGTAGGGCATCAGGACAGGGCTGTGCTGACATGGGAGAAACCCTGGGGAAGGGACTTTCACCAGACCTTCCCTGTCCTCCAGGCATTAGACCCTACACGGCTGCACTCACCCAGCCTATTGCAGTGGCAGGAGGCTTTTTAACCAGTGTGAATCCACAGACACATCCTGACCGTGTGGGGCTGAGCTGGGGGCTGCTCCCTCATGCACAGATGCCATTGCTGGCAGGGACACAGCCATCCCCACAGTGCACGGCCAGTGGTGTGCGTGCCACACGGCATTCCCATCGTGGGCGCATGGCTTGGCGCCGGAGCATCGCCGCCCGCAGACATCCCAGCAGGGCACAGTGCTGTGGAACGAGGTCCCGGCGCCTGGCAGCTGCCTGTGCCAGCCAAACCGACCCAGCCAGTCCTGCCGGCGTGGGAAGGGAAGAGAGTAGTGCTGCCATTGGGAATGCTGGGCTTTGGCACCCAGCGCCGGGGGTATGGAGAGGTTGGGAGCCCTGATGTTGTGTCTGATGCTGCCTTGCATTTGGGGATGGGGTGGAAAGAAGGAAATGATGGTGGGCAGGAGGTGGGGGGGTCTTTTCCCTGCCTGCTGGTGCAGATGTGGGCAGGGAGCCCTAGGACATTGTGCCAGGCCCTGCAGGGAGTGGGGTGAGCAGGGAGGTGGGCATGGGGAGGAGTTGTGTTGTCATTAGATGGGGCACCATGGGTGCGTGCAAGGCTTGAGGAGCTGTGATCCAGACATGTGGACCACCCGAGAATGGGCTCTTCCAGAGCCCAGGAGCTTTGTGCAGTGCTCAGCAAGGAGGAGGCATGGGGAAACCCATCCTCCCTTCTCCTTTGGTGTGGCAGTGGGCTGGGATGGGGATCCAAGGTGGCCGGAGTGTGCCCTCACCTCTTGTTTGTCCAAGGTCCATCCTGATCTCTGCTGCCATGTGGCCACCATGCAGGTGACACACATGTAACCGGAATGGAGAGCCACGGGCTGGCAACTACTGAATTACTGAGCCTCTCCATGAACTCAGCTGCTGGTAACACAGTGGGTTTGGGTAGGGCTGGGCTGTTGCCTGTTGTACCACTCTGCCTGTGGCTGGGTTCACCATGGTGCACCCAGACTTTCAGATCTTTGTAAAGCACTAATTTCCCCCTACACCTTTTTGTGGGGAAACTGCTGCCCATCCCCTGCGTTTTGGGTGCTGGATGGGTCCCCATCTCAGCATGCACCCTAGGGTAACTGCTTCCCAAAGCAATGCCAGCTGTGGGATGGAAAGAGAGCCCCGGAGGGCTCAGCACTCCAGGTGTTGTAATGGGGACAGAGGCCAAGCTGAAAGCAGTATGGGGGGCACCATAGGCCCTACCTCCACCCGGCGCCCCATGTTTTGCCCAGGGAGGTGAGGAGGGGCTGGCACCAGCACCGCAGCCTCCACCAGCATCGACTAAAAAGGAGAAGAGCAGGGAGCTGACGGCAGCGCCGAGGAATGCCTGCGCCTCCGTGATCGCTCCGTGTGGGGGGGGGGGGCAGCTGGGATCTGCTGGGTTGTCCCCACAACCGGCTGTTGCTCCGAGGGGGGGGGCCCATCCCACCCCCAGCTCAGGAAGGGACACTCGGCACTGGTTCAGCCTCCACGCACACCCCACACCCCACACCCCCCCCCATGGTGCTGGGACAGGGAATCCCGTGCTCATCCCTTGTCCCGCACGTGCCGGGGGTGAAGGACCGGAGTGTTCGTGCTTGGCCACACTCCCAGCTGCTGTTCCTGGCCAGGGACCAGGCTCCAGCTCGCATGACAGCGTCAGGCTGGGGACGGCTAAATATACAGCCTTATCCTAGCGCTGTGCCCCACCAGGCTGGGGTCATGCTCTGGAGCAGTGTTTGATCTGGTTCGGGGGGCAGTATACACCCTCTGTCTTCTAACCCATGCTGGTAGGGTCTGGCTGCATGGTGCTGACCCAGAAATACCCTGGTTTTGTGATGCTTGCTGGTGCATCCCAACCCTGCATCTGCCTGGCCTTGCAGCAGGGTTGGGGTCACAACATGGAGATGCCACAGCCTCTGGGAGGAATGGATATGGAATGGGGGAATGGGGAGAGCACGACAAGCAGGGTGCCCCAAGGAGGATGGGATGTGCATCATCAGCACTGGGGGTGCTGCTGTGCTGGAAACGGTCCCCCCCAGCTTAGGTCTAGTGATCCCTGAGGTGCCCTGTGCCTCATGTGCAAGGTTGCTGCAGGGCCACATGGGTCTCAGCCTCTCTTGCACACCCTGCCTCTAGGTACGGCACCGCCAGTCGGGGCAGGTCATGGTGCTGAAGATGAACAAGCTGACCAGCAACAGGGGCAACATGCTGCGGGAGGTGCAGCTGATGAACCGCCTCTCGCACCCCAACATCCTCAGGTAGGACCTGTCGTCCCTGTGTCCCCTGTTCCCCAGCCTGAGGGATTTGGAGCTACTGCTGGCTCTGGATGAGCTCCTAGGGCTGGTCTTCACCATGGCTATGCTCAGGTCCCCTCTGCCTTGCAGGTTCATGGGGGTGTGCGTGCACCAAGGACAACTGCATGCGCTGACGGAGGTGAGAGCAGAGCGATGTCCGTGAGTCTTGGGGGTCCTGCAGGGTTGGGGAGGGGACAGTGATGTGGGAACACTTTCTCAGCCCATGGCATGTGTGTAGGGCAAAGTCTACTGCGGGGCAATGCTGTGGGGTGATTGGGAGGCATGTTGGGATGAGATGGGCGTCTGGTTATGGGTGGAAGGGGGGGCATAGAGGTGCAGTGGCCCGGCTCTTCCCATCAGTACATCAACGGTGGGAACCTGGAGCAGCTGCTGGACAGCCCTGTGCCCCTCTCCTGGTCCATGCGTGTCAAGCTGGCCCTCGACATCGCCCGTGGCCTGCGTTACCTGCACTCCAAGGGCATCTTCCACCGTGACCTCACCTCCAAGGTACAGCATGCTCCAAAGGCATCCCAATGTCCTCATCCCATACCCACGTTGCTGGCTGTGCTGTGCTGGCTGCACCATCCCGGGAGCAGTGAGGATGGCGCAGTCAACGTGATGGGTCCTCCTGTGCCCCCAGAACTGCCTTGTGCGCTGCGAGGCCAATGGCTACACGGCAGTGGTGGGTGACTTCGGCTTGGCAGAGAAGATCCCCAACTACAGGTACGTGGGCAGTGTCCACCCATCTGTCCCCATCATTATTGTGAGGAGTTCCCAGCCCACTTGCAGCAGCAGTTGGGGAGGGATGGACATTTGGGATGCAGCTGGAAGGGCAGGGATGGGAGCAGTGGGGGTGTTCCCCAGTGGTGGGGATGTGTGGGGCCGATGGACATGTTTGGGGCTAGCTGTGAGGGGATGGAGAGGGTGTGGGTATGGAGAGATGAGTTTGTGGGCCCTTGAGGGAGGTTTAGCCCAGGGAGGGAGATGGAGGTGGTGGTTTGGGCTGTCCCAGTGGGAGGATGGGAGGGTGGACAGGGGGCTGTGGGTAGCCCCTGATGTCCCACCATGTCCCCCAGCGAAGGCAGCGAGAAGGAGCCGCTGGCTGTGGTGGGCTCCCCGTACTGGATGGCGCCTGAGGTGCTCCGAGGGGAGATCTACAACGAGAAGGTGAGGCTCCGTGCATGCCATGCCTGGGGCTTTATCCAGGCTTGTGCTGCCAGAGCTTTGGAGCTCTGGGACTTCACAGAAGGAAAAAACTGGGTGGTGGGGTGGCAGGGCCCTTGGTATGGCTCTGCAGGGAGGTGGGAAGCTGTGGGTTCGTGGAATGATGGGCCCATCTCATTGGGGTTGCAGAGCCCCCCATCACTCCCTTCTCTCTGCAGGCTGATGTGTTTGCGTACGGTATCATCCTGTGCGAGACCATCGCTCGTGTCCCTGCTGACCCCGACTACCTGCCCCGCACTGAGGTGACTCCCTGGGATGGCGGGGGACAGTGGTGGGCAGCAGCACCGGGACTGAGACTGCTTTACCAAATGAAGGGGTCCATTCTGCTGTGCTGGGTAGAGCCCCGTGTGCAGGAGCTCCCTGCATCTCAGAGCAGGGGTGCTGTGTCCTGATTGCTGCCCAGGCAGGGATGCTCTCTGCCTATAACCTGTCCTCGGAGCCCATGGTCAGCCTGGGTGGGAGAAGGGGACGCTATTGAAGCAGAGAGCCGTGCTGTGTCTCAGCATCCCCCAGCCTTGCCCCAACTTGGGGACCCTCCAGAGGGGTGTTGCCAGGTCCAGTCAATGCAGGGAGGGGGGACCTGGCCATCCCAGATCCCATGTGGTGTCCAGGAGACCCAGCCTCACTCCTCTTCTTTTCCCTGTCTCAGGATTTTGGTCTGGATGTCACCACCTTCCGCACCATGGTGGGCATCGACTGCCCAGCGGCCTTTCTCCAGCTCGCTTTCCACTGCTGCAGTGTGAGCCTCCCATCTCCCCTGCCCTTCCCTACCTTTGTGCATGGGGTGCGTGGGCTGCTGCAGATCTGACTGGGAACCCCTCCTCCCCACAGATGGAGCCCACCTCCCGCCCCTCATTCCTGGAAATCACACAGTGCCTGGAGGGCATCCTGCATCACCAGCTGGGTGTTGAGGACACTGGGGACACTGTCTTCAGCATTGGGGAGAGCCTGCCCATGCCTGCGACAGCAGCCACACTTACTGGTAGGTGGGCACCCTGGGGACAGGCCATGGGGGTGTGCAAGGAGGGGGCATGTTCTTTACTGTAAGGGTGGTGAGGCACTGGAATGGGTTGCCCAAGGAAGCTGTAAATGCTCCATCCCTGGCAGTGTTCAAAGCCAGGCTGGACAGAGCCTTGGGTGACATGGTTTAGTGTGGGGTGTCCCTGCCCATGGCAGGGGGGCTGGAACTGGATGATCTTAAGGTCCTTTCCAACCCTAACTATTCTATGATTCTATGTGGGATGTCCCATCCTATCCCAGCAGCTGTAGGGGAAGGAGACCAGAATTGCATGAGTTCTGTACAGCGCAGCCTGTCACTTGGGGTGCACCTCTGTGTTGTTGGGTGCCCAGCACCCCATAGCACCCCACACCAGCCTCTGGTCACCCGCTCCCGTGCTCACATCCAGGGGTATCCAAGAGGGCAGCCAGCCGCTCCGAGCAGTCACCCCTGCGCGAGCTGGGGACGCAGCACCTACAGCCGCAGGACCAGCGCCTGTCCCGCAGCCAGTCTGACGTGTTCCCCCCAAAATCACCCACCCTGCTGCAGCCGCTGGAGCCTTACAGCGGGGCCAGGACCAAGGAGACGTCCCCCCGCATCAACCCCTTCTCCCAGCGTGAGGACCTCAAGGGGGGCAAGATCAAGCTCTTCGACACGCCGAGCAAGTCTGTCATCTCTCTCACGTTCGAGCTGCCCCCCCCTGCACCGCTGCAGCTCAGCACCCCCGTGACCCCCGAGCCCGCCGTGGAGGTGCAGTGTGACTTCTCGGCCCCCACCGCTGCCCCCCGCAAGTGCCACTCGCTGCCCACCTCCCCCGAGCTGCCCCGCAGGGGGGGGCTGGAGCTGGAGATGGGGTCCCCCCACCCCACTGGTGACCTCCAGCCCCCAGCTCTCCTTCCACCTCCAGCTCGGGGACGAGCGTCTCCCCCCAGCGCCAGGCCATTGGAGCGGATGGACTGCAGCCCCGACAGCCCTCGCCCCCCGCAGCTCCCCGTGTTACCCCCTAACAACAACTTCATCCGCACGGCATCCTCGGGAGCCCGGCTCTGGCAGCCGGAGCCACGGGCCCCCGACAGGCTCCTCTTCAACAACAACCACGTGGTGATCAGTAAACCCCTTTCATGGGGCAGCGAGCTGGAGCACGGCTTCTCCGAGCTCAGCATCCCCTGTGCGGCGGCGATGGAGAGGACGGACCGTGCGGCCATGCTGCCTGGGCACGGCTCCGGTGCTGTGCTGGAGCAGGATGAGGTGCTGCCTTGTCCTGGGTGCTGCCTGACACTCTTCAGCTTCAGCTTCCTCTCTGTCTGCCACCGGCCGGCACCCAGCCCACCCCACTACCAGAACCTCAACTGTGAGTCCAAGAGCCTCTTCTGCCACCAGAAAGCCACAGGGCCGGTGCTGGCGGAGCCCAGTCTGAAGCTGCCAGAGGCATAGACCTAGTACCGGGGTTCCCGGGGAGCGGGGCTGCGTCCGGCTGCCCCACAGATCCCTTGGCACAGGAGCCTGCTGTGTCCCCATGGTCTGCCCTCACTGGCTCAGTGCTTGGTGGCCACCGGTGGCTGCAGTGCCCCATGCCATGGCTACTGTGGTGCCACTGAGGAGCTCGGGCACCCATCCCACCTGGATGGTTCTCGGGGGTCTATGAGGAGCTGTGGGGTGGGCTGGGTCCCTGCTGGGGACTGAAGTGCAATAACACCCCCAGCCCTGAGCGTGCTCCAGCACTGTGTGGGTGGCAGGGCTGGTGCCCCGTGGGGCTCAAACCCTGTGTGCAGGACCCCCCCTTCCCCAAGGGCTCACCCCTCTGCGGGCTCTTGTGGAGGGGTGCACAGCAAGCCTGCTCCCCTGGGAGCTCCTGTACCCAGGGGGGGTGAGCAGGGCTGGGGGAAGAGGGGTCGGGGTGTGTGTGTGTGTGTTGGGGGACCTTGTGGGGCTGGGGGATGTCCCCATGCTTCCCTACAAGTGTGGGGAGCACAGCCACCCCCTGACACAGGGAGAGGCTAGCAGGAGAGGGGCAACGCACATGGAGCAGTGCACGGGGATGATTTGCCAGCACTGGGGTTGCCCCTGCCTGCCCTATGCTGGGGTTGGGTGCTGAGCCAGCACAGCACCCACTGTCCCCCCAGCACATAGGGTTGGGAGCAGGGTGCTGGCAGAGGGGGGAAGGAGCTGCCCAGCCCCTGGCAAGGGTGGGAGCCAGCTTTCCTTCCTCCCGCACAATGCACTGGTGAATGCTGAACTCTTGTGGGTTTTATTACTATTAATAATAATAATAATTGCTAGTAATATATACCTGGCTTATTTAAAGTGTTCAATAAAAAAAATGAATGTCCTAGAAACTCTGGCTCCTGTCTCTTTCTTGTACGTCTGATGCAGCCCTGAGAGTTTGCACAGGCTTGGCTGGGGCTTCTGGGGAGCCTCCTGGGGACCACAAATCAGCCTGGCTCAGGCCAAGATCTCAGTATCCCCAGAGTGGCCATCTGGGTTGAAATGGCTTTGATTCCCCTTTATTATTTAGGTTCTTTGGGTTCATGCCCCTGAGTCTATGTTTGTGGTGGTGCACAAGAAAGCAAAGAGCAGACAAGCCCCATCTCTTTATTGCTACAGTTGGGTTCAGCCAGCGGACAAGACAGAGGAGTGACACGTGCCACCTCCAAAATGCCTGCCTTTAACACCCAAGCAAGCAAGCTAATTCACATAGCAATTGATCAACTATATATGGCACTCATGAGCCCATAATAAACTGAGGACATTTTCGCCTGGTTGAACATGACTTCCTGTGCTCTCGCCTGGTGGTGATGTTACATCAGGGCTATTTTGCTTAATCTTCACATGTGCATGTGTGTAGTGACTATTTAAAGTCCTGATACCTTCCTTGTCTTGCACGTCGGTCGAGCGCGAGTGCCAAAGTTGCTTTTAGGAGGCACCATCACATCGTGCAATCATAAAGGTCATTGCTCTAATTTCTAATTAGCAAAAAACCCAACAGCCAGCGCAGTTGAGGTGCAGCTTCCCTCCTTGGGCGCTGAGGATGCTGCTTCCTCAGTTCTGTGAAAGCCATGGCCAAGCTGCCCCTGTGATGGGGCCAGGCTGGAGGTCCCTGCAGTGGGGAGAGGACCCGTCCTGATGTGGGGCTGTGCTGTTCCCCAGTCCCGTGTCCTGATGTGCCAGCACCACAGCTTTCTCTGTGCTGGGGGTGTTGCAGTGCTGAGTGTCATCAGCTCTTGCTCCGCTCTGGACTCATCATACACCAGCCCCTGTGCTCCGAAAGACCCAGTGTTCCTCATGCAGGTGTGGGGCTGGGCTGTAGGGCCCGTACTGCTCTGCTAAAGCACATCAGCCAGGGGCAAATGGCCACTGCTGCTGCCTCCCCAGCCCGTGTGGTGCTGGAGCATCACTGGGGAGCACTGGGAAAGACCTGGGTAGGGGTATGTAAGAGGGAAGCAGGTTGCTCGCATGGATGGGACATCCCAGGAAGGGGTGCAGTGAGGCTGAAGCAAAGGCTGTTGTGGGGTGCAGGTGCTGGAAGGGAAGGCAGAGGGTGAGATGCATGCAGCAGGGCTGGGAAAGCAGCCTGCAAAGGGGTTTCCCCCATCTTGCCCCTTTTGCTGCACCACACTTGGTGGGGTCTCCTGGGCTACCACAGTTCAAAGGCTCCCATGGCAACAAAGGGATGGAGGTAGGCTCTGGCCTGCATCCCTTTCCATCGGATAGAGTCAATATGGCAGGCTCCCCACTTTTCCCCATACTCCCCCCCATGTGCCCCATGCCCCTCAGGCTCGAGAGAGCCTGTCCTGGGCACACTACACTCACCACAGTGGTGCTGGGCCAGCAGCCATCATCCCATGAAAGGGTTGCTTGGCCCCGCTGCCTTCTCACAGATCCAGAGGTGCAGGTCATCGGGACCAGCGCACTGAGCAGGTTTGATGTTCCCACGGCTTATTATGGCACAGGACCCATTTGACTTCGGCTGCCACGGCCTGGATGGGGAAGCAGCGCATCAGGGGGCTGCCCTATGCACCACCCTCTGCCGAGGCTGCCTCTTGTGCCCTCACAGAGGAGGGGTTGAATGCTGCGGTCAAAGGGGGGATCTCCCAGCCCTCCCCTACTCATTTCACAGCTGAACCCTCAGCAGATGCATCCCTGCCCTTCCCTGGGCGGCTGAGAAACCTTGGTCCTGGTCCTCCCTGAGGGCACGTGGATGTCAAGTGTTGCTGCCCAGGGCTATGGGGCTACAGTGGGGTGCAGACCTCACTGTGAGGATGTGGATGGAGGGGCATGGGCTGGGTACCCAGATGGGTCTGTTCTTCCCCACTGCTCTCAGACATTGCAAGAGGAAGCGGTGGTGAGCTGCGGAAGGGGTGCACATGGCAGGGAGCCATTGATTTTCCCTCCAGGTTGGAGCAGGGAAGCACATAGGGAATAGAGGTGGTGCTGGAACCGTTTGTCCAGACCTCACATAAAACTGGTGGTTTCTTTGCCCCCTCTCGCTGCCTCCTGCTGGCACATACCCTGCACATGTCCTCCCAAGTCTTGGCTTTCCATTTGTACCTCCTCTAAGCATCTCATCACGCCACTATGCCCACCTACGCTTGGCCTCAACTGCTTTGATGCTCTTTGTGCTTGTGCCTGGGGCTGGTTACCAGTGAGATTCAGAATATTTCCTAAAGCTACGATGGAGGAGAGGGGTTTTGACAAGAGGCTGTGCTGCCAGTACCTTTCATAAACGGAGCCATCCACCCAGAACCAGGCATCCGAGACCTCCTTTTCATCGGGGTCCCCTTCCTCCAGCCAGCCGTAGTCATACCAGGGGAAGATGGTCTTCTGTAGCCCAATCCAGTACGGGATGTCTGCGTTCTTCAGGAAGGTCTGGGGAAGAAGAAAAAGGGCTTTTTAGTGCCTTTGTATTGTGGGGTTTGCAGGGGCTGGTGATCTCCCCAGGAAGCCCCTGGGGCTGAGACAGGACAGATGGGCAGCCCTGGTGCTTTGCTCCAGTTTGGGTACCGTCCCAGTGTGTCAGAGCCTCTGTACCCCATGTCCACCACCTGCTATGTGCTGCAGAGATCAGCCTTGCACCCTCCAGTGTCTTGGCAGGCCAGGGGCAGTGCTGGCTCAGCTGAGGACCCCAGGGCTGGATGCTCTCAGCTCCCACAGCATCCTACCGGCACAGTCCAGCGACTCCAGGATTTGGTGATCAGGAGCTGAGAATATTTCTTCTCACACTCATCTCTGCTGTCCTCCCATGTCTTCTTCTCTGACGAGATGAAGAGGCACTTGCCCCTGTACAGCAGCCAGCCCAAAGGGCAGCAATCTGGGGGCAAGGGCACCGCTCAGGTGCTTGCTCAGCCACAGATGCCTTGCATGAGGACCACGAACAGCCCCACATCACCCCAGCAGACATCACAGGCTCAGTGTCTCATCCAGACAGCTTTAGACTGCCAAGTTCCCACCACGTGGACAAAAGAGCCAGTGGGGTGCCAGTGCCCTGACACCCCTTGTGCCCATCCACCACCAACCCACCTATGGCCGTGCAGGCGCGCAGGCTGGCCACGGTGCTCTGGCTGCTGTTGAGCTCTCCCTGCAGGCGCTGCACATCCCTGAGCAGCTCGGCCAGCTCCTGCCTGGCGCGCCCCAGCTCCGTGTCCCGCAGCTCCAGCTCCGCTCGGCTCCTGTTGCCGTCCCACCACGCACGGCCCAGCTCCGCTCTGGCCCTCACCAGCTCCAGCCGCGTCTGCTCCAGGCGCTGCTCCCGGGCGCTCAGCTCCTGCTCCAGGCGGCCCTGCTCGGCCGCGTGCTCCCGGGAGGCGTCCCGCAGGCTGCGGGTGACCTGCCAGTCTGGGCACAGGCACAGGGGTGGGCAATGGGAAGGAAGCGGGAGGCAGTGAGAGGCAATGAGAAGGCAGTTGTAGTGAATGGAAGGCAATGGGAAGGCAGCGGAAGGCAAGAGGAGACATCAAGAAGGCACTGGGAGGCAATGGGAAGGCAGTCATAGTGAATGGAAGGCAATGGGAAGGCAGTCATAGTGAATGGAAGGCAATGGAAAGGCCGCGGGAAGCACTAGAAGCATCGGGAAGGCATTGGGAGGCAGTGAGAGGCAATGGGGAGGCAGTTGTAGTAAATGGAAGGCAATGGGAAGGCAGTCATAGTGAATGGAAGGCAATGGAAAGGCAGCGGGAGGCACTAGAAGCATCGGGAAGGCATTGGAAGGCAGTGAGAGGCAATGGGGAGGCAGTTGTAGTGAATGGAAGGCAATGGGAAGGCAGTCATAGTGAATGGAAGGCAATGGAAAGGCAGCGGGAGGCACTAGAAGCATCGGGAAGGCATTGGAAGGCAGTGAGAGGCAATGGGGAGGCAGTTGTAGTGAATGGAAGGCAATGGGAAGGCAGTCATAGTGAATGGAAGGCAATGGAAAGGCAGCGGGAGGCACTAGAAGCATCGGGAAGGCATTGGGAGGCAGTGAGAGGCAATGGGGAGGCAGTTGTAGTAAATGGAAGGCAATGGGAAGGGAGCGGGAGGCAAGGGGAGGGAGTGGGATAGCCCAAGCAGGGGGATGTGGAATTGATCCTACTTGAGAAGCAGGGTGGTCAAGGCATGGCAAGGCAGGGACATGCCTATCCCAAAGGATGGGAAAGACACGGCAGGGAACTGCTCAGGACCTGGCAGGGGAGATCAGGTCAAGGCAGGACAGGGGTAGGAGCAAACAGAGCAGGGCAGGCGCAGGTAGGATGCAGCAATAGGAGGCTGACCAGTGTCTGGAAGGGAAGGGCAATGAGCAGAAATGGAGAGCAAGGTGCAGAAGATGAGTGACAGAAGGCAAGCTGGACACACATGGTGTGTGAGGGATACAGGCCAGTTTGTGGCACAGCACAGTGACCCAGCCATGAGGAGTGTGCCTGGGCATGCTTCTATCGCACCCCTGCTCACCCACAGCAGCATCCCTCTCCCCATGCTGCCCAGCCACCCCAGCCCCACAACAGTTCCCCCTTAGACTCACAGCAAACCCCCAGTGCCACGGTGGCCACCAGCAGCAGCAGGCAGGTTGCCATCAGCCCTGCAGGCAGACACCACCGACAGGACCAGTGCCCTGCAAGACACAGCAGACCACAGCAGGCATCACTTGGTGAGCCAGGAAAGCCCCGTCAGCCCACAGACCCACTGCATGGTGACACCAGTGCCATGGTGTGGGCGCTTCCTCTCTTCAAGAATGGGAACAGGAACACCCCAAAACACCTCCCATACCCCGTGCCAGCATCTCCTGGGCTCCAGCCATGCACTCACCTGTGCTGGGCTGGTCCTCAGACTCATCCTGTGCCACCGGTGCTGTCTGCATGTTCTCGTAGGGGCTCTCTGCCTCATCTATGCCGAGGACTGTTGGAGGAAGGGAGAGGCTGAATCCACAGGGACGGACATGGCAGGGCAGCATGGGGATCCCATGGCCTCTCACCTGCCTCCAGCACCTGGCTGGCCATGCTCTGGCCCCCCACCACTTTGGCAAACCTCAGGTCAGCATAAACCATGCTCTGGGCCATGTGGGTAAGCCCTGAGCCCTGCTGGCTCCCACCCTGCCCTTGGGATGCCTTCATGTGGTGGTCCTGCTCCTCGGTGGTTGCACCGTCCCACAGGGGTGCAAAGGAGAAGTGTGGGCAGCACCTGCAGAAGCAGAAGTTTGCTCTGAGCTGCAGCAGACGGAACCAGCGAGGCACGGCTGTGGGGACCAGCACCCTCCCATTGGTCCAAGCACCACTGGCCCATCCCCTCCCACACCCCAAAAGTGCTCACGGCCTCCACAAGCACATGGCAGGGCCAGGGCAGCACGGCCTGAGGTCAGGGCAGTGGTAGAGTAAGGATAGACTCAAATCCCTGGGCCATGGGGGAGCTGGGGACCAGCCTGGCCACAGTAGCACACTGAGCCTGGGACAGCCCTGTGGAGGGATGGAGGTCTTCATGGATGCTGATGTCCCCTTCTGGCCTCTAGGAATGGGAATTTCCCTGTGATGTAGCTTGTAGAGCTGCCCTTGTCCTGTCCCTGATCCCCTCCTAGAAGAACTTGGCTTCATAGAATCATAGAATCAGAATGGTTTGAGTTGGAAAGGACCTTAAGATCATCCAGTTCCAAACCCCTGCCATGGGCAAGGACACCTCACCCTAGACCACATCACCCAAGTCTCTGTCGAACCTGGCCTCAAACACTGCCAGTGTTGGAGCATTTATCACTTCTTTGGGCAGCTTGTTCCAGTGCCTCACCACCCTCACAATAAAGAACTTCTTCCTTTATCAGCATCACCTCAGACCCTCCCAGGAAGATGCACAGAGCAACAACAACAGCTTTGCCTTCCCATCCCCAGACGCAACCCCAGCACTCACAGCATCTCCTCCTTGGCCCCATCCTCCAGCCCCTCAGCATCTCTGAGGTCTCTGCTGAACTGCATCCAGAGAAAGGCAGGTTTCAGAAAGGGCACTGAGGTGGGGAACAGCTGGGCACATCTGGACACAGCCAGTTCCTGGGACAATGGAGCAGTGCAGAACTGTTGTTCTGTTGCAAGGCTGTGCTCTCCATTATCTCTGCAAGAACAGGAGAAGTCCTTCATCACTGGAGAAAGTTAAAAATCATGGCCAGCTTTGAAGAGGACGGAAAGAGGTTTGCAAAGCCAAACACTGAGCAGCTTCCACCCGATACCCAGGAAGAAGATGGAGTATATGCTCCAAGGGAACATAGTAGTCCAGACCTGGGGAGAACATGGTTGAGGATGGGGGAAGCTCAGCAGGATTTACCAAGTGCAAATGGCATCTACCTGCCTGCTGCTGTCAGAGCACCAGGCTGGAGACTGTTTACCATGACCCATTGATGTCTGGGACATGGCTTCCCCTGTGGTCCATGCTGCTTGCTGGAAGAATGCGAAAGATGTGGCCAGGGAAAGGAGAGAAGAGCAAGAGTTCACGCTGCAATGTGGAAACCCTTTTAGGCATCAGGCAAACATTTATGCACAACAGTGACGCTTAAACCCCGGAGCAGAATATAGAGAGGGAAAAACACTGTCCTGGAGGGGGCCAGCACCATGTGGAAGCAGGCCCTCAGGTTGACTCTCAGTAAGCTGACCCTGGCAGCCCTGTCCAGCACCGCAAACCCAAGCGCAGCACAGTGCAGCCATCCCTGGGGACCCTGAGCAGACTCAGGGTGTGGAAGGGAACAGGATGGTGATGTCAGGGCCAATGGTAGGACACAGGCCCTGAGGCTGGGATTTCCTGCTGCACCCCAGAGGAAACTTACACTTCCGCAGAAACCAGCTGCACTTCTCTCTCACACCCCTGAGGGAGCAGGAGCCGCCAGAGCCATCGGGGCAGCAGAGAACATGGCCCAGAGCGTGGTCTACGCCGACCTGAAGTTCGCAGCATCCCCGCCGCTGGCCGTGCCCTCCTGCCCCGCAGCCCCCGACGAGGACGACAGCCCCTACGAGAACGTGCTGCTGGGGACGGTGCCTGCAGAGCAGAGCCCAGGTCAGAGCCCGGCCACCGACACGAGGATGCTGAGGCGCAGGGTGGGCAGCGGGGGGCGGCAGTGGGACCATGGGTGATGCTCTGCTCACAGCTCAGCTCAGCTCATGTCACCTCTTGCAGGGCGACGGCCCCGGCGCTGGCGTGTCCCCATGGGGCCGCTGGCCACCAGCCTGCTGGTGCTGCTGGTGCTGTTGGTGGTGGGCACCGTGGCCCTGGGGACCCGCTGTGAGTCTGGGTGAGGGCTGTGGGGTGGGGGGAGATGAAGGGGAGGATCAGGACTGGGTTTGGGGTTGGTGGGGGCTGTCAGGTCTGAGGGGTGCTGGGGCTGGTGATGCAAGGCTGGCGTTGTTTTTGGCTTGGCCACCCTGAACTTCCTTATCTGCCTGCATTGCTTTCGCCATGCCTACCACTGCTTCCCACTGCCTATCATAGAATCACAGAATGGTTTGGGTCACAAAGGACATTAACATCACTCAGCTCCGACCCCTGCCTTGCCCAAGACCATGTCACCCAAGGCTCTGTCCAACCTGGCCATGAACACTGTCAGGGATGAACCATTTCCCAGTTCTTTGGGAAACCACTTCCAGCACCCTCACTGCTCCCCACTGCCTTCCCACTGCTTCCCAGTGACTCCCACTGCAACAAATTGCATTGCAATGCCCCCTGCTGCATCCCATTCCATTCCAATTGCTTGCAACTTTCTTCCCACTGCTTTCTCATCACGTACCCACTCCCTTCCCATTGCCTCCCACTGCCTCCCACTGCATTCCCAGTTCTTTGCCATTGCTTCCAATTTGCTTCAAACTCTCTTCTCATTGCCTTCCCATTGCTTCACAATGGCTCCCACCGCCACTCATTGCGTCCCTTCTACTTACCACCATAGACCCTTCCCTTCCCTTCCCTTCCCTTCCCGCTGGCACCCCAGGACAGTCTCTGCCCACATCCCGACACTCTCATCCCATGTCCCTCGCCATGGCCGTGGGCGCACGGGTCGGTCGCTGGTGCCCGTGCCCGGGCTGTGCCAGCGCCGTGCCCACCCCTGTGCCTGTGCCCAGACTGGCAGGTCACCCGCAGCCTGCGGGACGCCTCCCGGGAGCATGCGGCCGAGCAGGGCCGCCTGGAGCAGGAGCTGAGCGCCCGGGAGCAGCGCCTGGAGCAGACGCGGCTGGAGCTGGTGAGGGCCAGAGCGGAGCTGGGCCGTGCGTGGTGGGACGGCAACAGGAGCCGAGCGGAGCTGGAGCTGCGGGACACGGAGCTGGGGCGCGCCAGGCAGGAGCTGGCCGAGCTGCTCAGGGATGTGCAGCGCCTGCAGGGAGAGCTCAACAGCAGCCAGAGCACCGTGGCCAGCCTGCGCGCCTGCCTGAACACAGGTAGGGCCGTGCTGGGCTGCGGGACGGGCAGGGATGCTGCCGGGGAGACGAGAGGCTGATCCCGGCCAGGACGGGCCCCCCGAGCATCCTTGTGACGGCGAGCGCCTGAGCCGTGCCCGTGTCCCCAGAGTGCTGCCCCTCGGGCTGGGTGCTCTACAGGGGCAAGTGCCTCTTCATCTCCGTGGAGAGCAAGACGTGGAGGGACAGCCGTCAATACTGCCAAAGGACGTCCGCTCAGCTGCTGGTCCAAGGCGACTGGCCAGCGTGGACAACGCCGGTACGGAGCAGAGGGGCTGCAGCACCCCAGGGCTGGGGGCAATGCTGGGGCCGGTGGGCCCTGGGCAAGGGTCAGGCGGTCAACAGCTTCTCTCCCCCCAGCTCTTTGTGCAGGGGAATGGCGCCGTGTACTGGGTCGGGGAGAGATACAAAAGTCATCTCCATTCACGCGAGGACACGTATGGATGGCAATATAAAGAGTAAGTTGTTCCATCTTGGCCACCTGCATCTCTCGCAGCTTCACCAGCCACGGGGAAATGCGCTGGACACATCCTCCTGCCCAGGCTAAGGGGCCCTGAGGCTGCAGCTGTGGGGGGTACAGCATGGTGGCAGCAGGCTGAGAGCATGGTGATGGCACCTCTCACGTGTGCCCTCCCTTCTTGCAACAGAAGTTGGACCTGTCCAGGAATATCCTATGGTAAGATGGAAAGATTCTACTGCTCAAGAATATTGCCATGGATCTGTGAGAAGCTGCCAGATGTGAGGAGCACGTTCAAGACCGTCCCTCCTCTCCCTGCCGAGTGGTAACTCTGGAACACCATCTCCACCATACATCTGAGTGATTGGAGCTCAGGGTGCACAGCAGAGACACCTTTTCCCTCCTGCACAGCCACATCTCTGTGTACTGTTGTCTCCAAAGCTATTGCACTGCAAAGCTATTTTAAAGGTATATGGATTCATAGAATCATAGAATGGTTTGGGTTGGAAAGCACCTTAAGATCATCCAGTTCCAACTGTTTGCCATGGGCAGGGTCACTTCAGCCTAGACCGTGTTGCCCAAGGCTCTGTCCAACCTGGCCTTGAACACTGCCAGGGATGGAGCATTCACAGCCTCCCTGGGCAACCCATTCCAGTGCCTCACCACCCTTACTACAGTAAAGAACTTCTTCCTTGTGCCTAACCGGACCTTCTCCTGTTTCACTTTGAACCTGTTATCCCTTGTCCTATCACTACAGTCCCTAATGAGGAGTCCCTCTTCAGCATCCCTATAGGCCCCCTTCAGATACTGGAAGGCTGCTATGAGGTCTCCAGGCAGCTTCTCTTCTCCAGGCTGAGCAGCCCCAACTTTCTCAGCCTGTCTTCATACAGGAGGTGCTCCAGTCCCCTGATCATCCTCGTGGCCTTCCTCTGGACTTGTTCCAACAGTTCCATGTCCTTTTGATGTTGAGGACACCAGAACTGCACAAAATACTCCAGGTGAGGTCTCACAAGAGAAGAGTAGAGGGGCAGGATCACCTCCTTCGACCTGCTGGTCACGCTCCTTTTGATGCAGCCCAGGATACGGTTGATTTCTGGGCTGCGAGCGCACACTGAAGCCGGCTCATGTTCATTTTCTCATCAACCAACACCCCCAAGTCCTCCTCCACAGGGCTGCTCTGAATCTCTTCTCTGCCCAACCTGTAGCCCTGCTTGGGATTGTTCCAACCCAGGTGTAGGACCTTTGCACTTGGCATGGTTAAACTTCATGAGGTTGGCATCAGCCCACCTCACAAGCGTGTCGAGGTCCCTCTGGATGGCATTCCTTCCCTCCAGCGTGTCAACCGAACCACACAGCTTGGTGTCATCGGCAAACTTGCTGAGGGCGCACTCAATCCCACTGTCCATGTCAGCGACGAAGATGTTGAACAAGACCGGTCCCAACACCGATCCCTGAGGGACACCACTCGTTACTGGTCTCCAGCTGGACATTGAGCCATTGACCACAACTCTTTGTGTGCGGCCATCCAGCCAGTTCTTTATCCACCGAGTGGTCCATCCATCAAATTGATGTCCCTCCAATTTAGAGACAAGGATGTCGTGTGGGACAGTGTTGAATGCTTTGCACAAGTCCAGGTAGATGACATCAACTGCTCTACCCCTGTCCATCAGTTCTGTAGCCCCATCATAGAAGGCCACCAAATTGGTCAGGCAGGATTTCCCCTTAGTGAAGCCATGCTGGCTGTCACCAAGCACCTTGTTGTTTTTCATGTGCCTTAGCATGCCTTCCAGGAGAATCTGCTCCAAGATTTTGCGAGGCACAGAGGTGAGACTGACAGGTCTGTAATTCCCCGGGTCATCCCTTTTCCCCTTCTCGAATATGGGGGTTATATTTCCCATTTTCCAGTCATCAGGAACTTCACCTGACTGCCATTTTTTTTTTTCAAACATGATGGCCAGTGGCTTAGCAACTTCATTTGTCAGCTGTTGCATTCCTCAGGGTCCTTCAGGACCCACAAGTGGATTTGACTGCAGTCACTGCAGAGTGCCTCCAAGCGGGAGATGGGAAGATGCTGCATGGGGCCGCGCGGCCCTGGAGTGCCCAGCAGACACCGGCTCCTGGGGCTCCTCACAGCCTGTGGGGACATGGGGGCAGAGTGCGCTGCCTGGGAGGAGCTGGTTCACCCCCACGCACTGCACAGCAAGAGCAGCCTCGGGAAAAAAAAAAAACATTTGCAAATAAAAACGCGTCTGCTTTTCTGATCAAGAGGTGTCTCCACCCCACGGGGGTTTGGCCAGGGCAAGGCAGCAGCGAGCCCTCACTCTGCTGCTGCCTGGGGCGCCTGCAAGCATGGCCCAGAGCGTGGTCTACGCCGACCTGAAGTTCGCAGCATCCCCGCCGCCGGCCGTGCCCTCCTGCCCCGCAGCCCCCGACGAGGACGACAGCCCCTACGAGAACGTGCTGCTGGGGACGGTGCCTGCAGAGCAGAGCCCAGGTCAGAGCCCGGCCACCGACACGAGGATGCTGAGGCGCAGGGTGGGCAGCGGGGGGCGGCAGTGGGACCATGGGTGATGCTGTGCTCACAGCTCAGCTCAGCTCATGTCACCTCTTGCAGGGCGACGGCCCCGGCGCTGGCGTGTCCCCATGGGGCCGCTGGCCACGAGCCTGCTGGTGCTGCTGGTGCTGTTGGTGGTGGGCACCGTGGCCCTGGGGACCCGCTGTGAGTCTGGGTGAGGGCTGTGGGGTGGGGGGTGAAGGGTAGCACCGGGAGTGGGTTTGAGGCTGGACAAGGTCTGGGATGCTGGGAGGTGTCGGGGCTGAGGGGTGCTGGGGCTGGTGATCCAAGGCTGGCATCGCTTTTGGCTTGGCCACCCTGATCTTCCTGTCTGCTTGCATTGCTTTTGCCTTGCCTACCACTGCTTCTCACTGCCTATCGTAGAATCACAGCATCATAGAATGGATTGGGTAAGAAAGGACCTTAACATCACTCAGCTCCAGCCCCTGCCTCACCCTAGAACATGTTGCCGAAGGCTCTGTCCAGCCTGGCCTTGAACACTTCTAGGGATGAAGGATTTCCCAGTTCTTTGGGCAATCTGTTCCAGCACCCTCACCGCTTCCCACTGCCTTCCCATTGCCTCTTAATGACTCTCAGTGCCACAGAGTGCCTCCCACTGCCTTCCCACTTCCTTCCAATGCCTCCCACTGCTTCCCATTCCATTCTGATTGCTTCCAGCATGCTTCCCACAGCCTTCTCATTGCCTACACATTCCCTTTCCTTTGCCTCCTACTGCCTTCCCAGTCCTTTCCTGTTGCTTCCAACTTCCTTCCCACTGCCTTCTCTTTGTTTTTCCATTGCCTTTATATTGCCTTCCATTGCCTTCCTTTTACCTCCTATTGCCTCCAAACACCTTCCCATTGGCTCCCACCGGCACCCAAACACCTTCCACTTACCACCATAGACCCTTCCCTTCCCGCTGGCACCCGAGGACAGTCTCTGCTTGCATCCTGACACTCTCATCCCGTGTCCCCGTGTCCCTCGCCATGGCCATGGGCGCACGGGTCGGTCGCTGGTGCCCATGCCCGGGCTGTGCCCGCACTGTGCCCATCCCTGTGCCTGTGCCCAGACTGGCAGGTCACCCGCAGCCTGCGGGACACCTCCCGGGAGCATGCGATGGGGTAGACGTGCTGGGCACTGCCCTGGCATCCATCCTGTCTCTGGGATTGGGTTGTTGTGCCATTTTCTTCTGATGTGTAGAGCACTGTTGTACGGCAGGACAGCCAACAGCTCTACTTGTAGGTGCAGTCCTTGACACCAACATCTGCCCTTTAGCCATAGATGGAAGTTGTCATTTCACCTGCAGTGGGGAGATGCTCTAACAAGTGGTTCCCCAAGGCAGGGTCCCTGTCAGAGCCCTGCTCCCACCTTGTGCACTGCCAGATCTTCAAGTGGTTCAGCAGGAGGCTGGGAGGAAGGAATATGGCCCTTCCTCAGACTCTCCTGCCTGCCCCAATGGCACTGGGAAGAGGCATCCACAGTGAGGATACTGCTGCTGCTCCTCTGAGACATGCCCTCTCTCCTATGCAAGCTATCTTAGATCTTGTTTTATCTTATCTTCTTAGGTGCCCGCTGTCATATAAGGGGAAAAGGCAGACTTCAAACTGACGGATAATGTACCAGTGGATCTGTGAGCAATTCCTGAAGCTCAGCAGAGCATCTGAGACTCTCCATCCTCTCCTAGTGAAGAACTGACTGTACACTTGGTCACAGCACATGGAGACAGGAGCTGGGGATGCACCCTGAGACCCTCCCCCTGTGCACACATTGCAAAGCGCTGGGAAAGGGTGTTTGTATTTTAAAGTAAGACTCATGGAAATAGACCTTATTCCCCTCTCTCACACTCAAGCTTACACTTACACCACCTTGCACCGTTCCTCTGAGTGTCCCTGTGCCAGCACAGCTCACAGTGATCCAAGACTGATACAGAGCCCAGCTCCTGCCTTCTGTGCTCCCCAAGGCTGCCAGCATGCACTGGTGCCAGATGTGGCGTTTGCATCTTCTTGGAGCTGGGGGATGACAATGCCAGAGATGTCCCTGACCTCTCCTCCTCAAGGAGTCCTTTGGATTTACTGTCTGTTCCTTTTCTCAGCATTGGCAGCTCCCATCCTGCCCTTCATCCTGCCTCCATCACCTGCCCAGGTCTTTGGGCTGGGCCTTGCCTAGGGAGGATGCAGGCAGCAGTGCCTTCAGCATGGAGAAACTGCTGTGGAGCCCTGAGACCCTGTGGGGTGTATGGGGGAACCCTGAGACTGCAGGAGGAAAAGGCACTGATGATTCCTGAGACCACAGGGATTGGAGAAGGGAGCCCCATGGCCATGGGGGAAATGGGAGTGCAGCAAGGAGCCTTGAAACAGTGGGAGAGAGGGGGAAGCACTGGAGAGGCATGGGAACACTGGGGAAAGGGGACACTCTGGCCACCATGGGAGAAAATATCCCTAAGATCATGGT